CTCCCTACGAACCTCCGTGGGCTAGCCGCCCCCATTACCCCCAGGGGCCTCATCAGAACTTGGCGTTGTGCCCTGACCCATGCCCCCATATCATTTTATACCAGAATCCCCACCAGTCTACCCATCACAATGTAACCGCTCCTCAAAACCCTCACCAGACAATACCACTAGTCCTTAGGACCCTCACTACACTCTCCATCAAACAATGCCAGCGGCACCCTAACCTGACCTAGGCTGATAACCTGCTCAGATTCTTAACCCCAGCCTGCTGCAGCTCTGGATGTGTTCCTGCCTCCAGGTTTGGGCAGTCAGAATGGATCCACACCTGATGGCTCCACGCATTTCCCTTCATGGTGAGTACATCTGTCCCTACCTCAGCCCCGTGCTTGGCTGTCCGGGGACACTGTGGTGGTGATGGGAAGGGAAGTTCTAAGGATACAGGACACTGCTGGGCTTTGCAGCAAGCTTCAAGGCTGCACATAGAGGTCGGGCTTCAAATTGGGTGTCACTAATATCTGGGCAGTCCATTAGCTACCTGTGGGGTAGGGAGTAGTATTGTCATAATTTCAAGGAAATTAAGTGGCAGGTCATTTGGATTCCACTCCATGCAAGCCCCTCAGTTGAGAAGGCAGGAACTTGAGGGCCGGGCACGGTGGTTCAGGCCCGTAATCCTAGCACTCTGGGAGGTGGAGGTGGGTGGATTGCCTGAGCTCTCAGGTTCCAGACCTGTCTGAGCCAGATTGAGACCTCAGCTAAAAATAGCTGGGCATTGTGGCAGGTGCCTATAGTCCCAGCTACTTGGGAGGCTGAGGCAAGAAAATGGCTTGAGCCCAAGTTTCAGGTTGCTGTGAACTATGATGGCATGGCACTCTACCAAGGGTGACAAAATGAGACTGTATCAAAAAAAAAGAAAAAAGGAGGGGGGCAGGAAATTCTGTCCCTAGCACAATGTCTGACTTTATGAAAGTGAGCCTCCTCATCTGTAAAAATGTGAACTCACTAATCAGGGCATTCATTCAGCTAATCTCTGAGCTCCTACTACATGGCAGGGTCCCAGAGAACATGAACAACCTAGGCCCTACTCACAGGGGGAGCCAGAGATTGATAAGGGGAAGGCAGGAGTATGGGTGGTCAGGGAAGGCTTCTCCCAAGAAAGTAACCTAAGCTGAGATCAAAGGCCATGGGGTGGCATAGTGTACCAGACAAATGGAATGGACAGAGCAAGATCAAGAAGCAAGGACAGGCTCGGCACCTGTGGCTCAAGTGGCTAAGGCGCCAGCCACGTACACCCAAGGTGGCGGGTTCAAATCCAGCCCGAGCCCGCCAAACAACAATGACAACTGCAACCAAAAAATAGCCGGGCGTTGCGGCGGGTGCCTGTGGTCCCAGCTACTCGGGAGGCTGAGGCAGGAGACTTACTTGAGCCCAGGAGTTGGAGGTTGCTGTGAGCTGTGATGCCACAGCACTCTACCCAGGGGGACAGCTTGAGGCTCCTGTCTCAAAAAAAAAAAAGGAGCAAGGACAAGGGTGGCATATTGGAAGTATAGATAAAGCTGTGATGCTTGAACATGAGAGCATGTTGGTCCCAGGGAGCCACTGAAGTACTGACTCAGCAAGGCAAGCTCTCACGTAATCTAATTTCCCTTTATAATTACCTGCTTCTTGGTAAATAGATAAAAGGATCCAAGAAGGCTAGAGGCCAATTAGAAAGGCTGCCATGCCCAGGTTTCTATCTTAGCCCCCTATGGAAGGATCGCAGTGCCCTAAGGTGGGGCACCCAGGAGGAAGAATGTGTCTGCAGGGAAGGTGGTAGGCCCAGGGTAGATTGTCAGAGATTAGCAGAGATCTAGTTTGCAATGTGGTCTTTCTGAGCCCAGCTCAGCTCCCAGGGGGCTGGGAAGAGCCAATCTCAGGAGTTGTTTTGCTGTCCATGGATTAACCCCTCTCTTTTCTGTCTCCATCACTTTCAGGGAAATGGCAGCAAACGAACCTTTCAAAACCCACAGAGAATAAAGGAAGGCAGCAGAAGGGTCTCCAAGGCCATCTCTGGGTTTGCTGACTTCAACACTGGGTTTTGTTGCTACCTAGACTCCAAGGACTACTGCGGGAGCTCAGGGTTGCAGACAAGGAGTACCCCAGTGCTTGGAGGGCTAGACCTCCACTGCCCTTAGTCTTGCCGCCCCAACAGCCCTAGGCACTGGGAGAATGACGAATTTGCCTTGACTCTTATGTGCGTGCCTTGAGGAAAGTAGTTGTGCTCCTCTTCACTTAGCTCAGGAGAAGCCTCTATATTGGGGAGGCCAACAGTCTATTCTTTGTCTTTGGTTTTTTCCTGTCCCTCTTCCCTATCCCCCAGGATGTGATCCCATGAAGATTTGTCCCTCTAAGGGGAAGCCTGAGGTTTATCAGCTCTGGGATGTGCATGGGAAGTCTGTTCTCCCCTAAGTTTTGAGCTTCCTGAATTTCTTTGATTTTGCTTTGTTGGCAAGGAGCCAGGAAATCCTGGCCTGGGCCAGGCCTTATACTCTATGGTTACTTAGCTGACCATTCACATATAAGGCAGGGTGCCCTACTGGCCCCCTCCAAACAGAGGCACCAAACACCCATCTGCCTAGCCCAGCCAGATCTCTCTAGGTGTTAGCCAAGCAAAGGAAATTGTCATTTCCCAACTGTCCTACTATTACTCCTCTCAATCCTTCTTCGGAGTAAGCGGGGTGCCTAAAAGAGGCAGAGCCCACCAGCTAAGCCCTTGGAGTGACCTCCATTACTTAATTACCCATGGGATTGTGTGTTTGTACCTTGCCCTCTACTAAGGAGGTACTAAGCAGTTGGTATAAAATGGTCCCATTATGCCCCACAGCCTCATTTCCTATCTGGACCTGGTACAAAGAGGAGTCCCATTCTAAGAGCCTGTAGGCTCAGTTTCTTCCCAATAGCACCATCTGAGCCTACGAGAACCCTCAACAGTAAAGTCATAGGCAAGCCCTACTGCCTTCACAATGGGAGTTCCATAGGTATAGGTGGCAAATCCCCCAACAGAACACCAGTTCTTGAAAGCCTTGTGTCCCTTGACCTGCCTTCTTCCCTGATCGCCATACTTCTGTCTCCCTCTGCTGGGCCATTTAGCTACCTTAGTGTCCTGGTGCATACTTTTCTGTTGGATATCACATTTCCAGCTGGCTGCCTTTGCCTAAGTTGTCTTTGTGGCAGATATACTGCCACATGTTCCCATTCCAGACGTGTCTTCTAGCTGGCAGATGATGGTCTTCGCAGCCCCAGGCCCACCCACTAACGCCCCACACACAGAATCAGGGTACGTTGGCTTAACTGAGAACATGGCTTATTAAACGTGGAAGTGTATCAGCTGTGTGGTTATTTAGATAGGACAAGGATGTGCATGCACAAAGCAACTGGAGAAGGAACATTCTAGAAGCTGTTGCCACTCAGGACATAGACACAACTTGCAGAGATGGAGAGGTAAAGCTAGCTCCCTGGAGGAGCAGTGATGGGGTGTCTAATCCACATTAGTTTTTAAAGACCTGATCCCTCTCAAGAGGAACCTACTCAAAGCCTGTTTCGGAGGCCAGAGAGGCAGGTGTTGGGTTTGCACCTCAAGAGCCATGTGGACAAAGAAAAATGATGCTAGAGACTGACAAATAAGAAAGTTTAATATTTTTTCAGGACAGAGGAGTGAAGAATTGGTCCCAGGGGTGAGGTCAGCCCACAGTAAGGCAAGTCCAAGAGGAAGCCCAGCATGCCCTGCAGTAGCCCTGGGGCTCAAGACAGGTGATGAGCCTGCCATGATTTCCTGCTAGGCAGCAGGCTAGGCCTACTTGGGAATGTGAAGAATAAGGCCATCCCCAGCCAGCCCCGAGGTTACACACAGGCATAGCAGCCTCAATTGAGCCATCCCTCTGTTGAGTCAGGAATCATTCCTGCCCTGGGAAAGGCAATAGTTTGTATTCATAAGAGGCAAACTGGGCTCGGCGCCTATAGCTCACCCGGCTAAGGCGCCAGCCACATACACCTAAGGTGGTGGGTTCAAATCCCCAGCCCGGACCCACCAAACAACAATGATGGCTGCAACCAAAAAATAGCCGGGCGTTGTGGCGGGCGCCTGTGGTCCCAGCTACTTGGGA